CCTGTCTGTCCACGCTCCTGCCTGTTTGTCCACGTTCCTGTCTGTCCACACGCCTGTCTGTCTGTCCACACTCCTGTCTGTCCACGCTCCTGCCTATCTGTCTGTCTAGGCATGGGGGGGGCAGTGGTGACTCCCCGAGATGAGCACCCCACATCTGGCCTGTCCGGCTGCCCACAAAGGCTCATACATCCTGGAATCACTCACGTCTGCCATATTCCTAGGGTCACAGACGCCAACCACAACAGCCCGACAATGAAGAATTTAGGCAAATAGAAGGTCAAACACCTCCTTTCTCCCTAAGAGGAAACACACCACACACACAGGGTGAGAGATCGCGAAGTGCGTACATGAGCCACCCCCCGCCCCCAGCAGACCACCCCACGCGCAGGCGCCGCCCTCTCCTGCCGGCCAAACCGGCCCCGAGGTCCACCGCCCGGAAGCGCAGGCCCCGCGGAGCCGAGGCTGACCTGGACGCGAATGCCGTGGTACACGCACAGCCAGAAGAGCAGCAAGGCGCACAGGAACACGGACTGGAAGAGGTCGTCCAGCATGCCCGGGAACCAGCTGTTCACCAGGAAGGAGAGGGGGAAGAAGGGGTCTGCAAGCAGAGGGCGGGCGGCGTGAACACGGGCAGGTCCCGGCCCCGCGTCGGGCCGCCCGCACACGGCCACCCGGCGCAGCACGCGCGGCACGTGAACGAAAGCCTGCTCTGCTTCCGAAACACTCAAGGCCAGGGTCAGACTGCCCAGCGACGGTGACAGCGCCGCCTGCACCTCCTGCGGGCCGGGGCTCCCGCTCCGCTCTGGAGGCCAGCGCGCCCTGCGGCCGGCCAGGGGAGCGGACGGACACAGACCCAGACCCAGACGCGCCGGCAGCCCGCCAGCTCGGCCACAGGGCGTCACCCATCGGGCTCCGTGGGCCTGGCGCCGCTGGCCGCCCCGCGAAACAGCAGTCCGGGGGCCAGGGAGCCCCGCCACCCTGCCTTTAGGGGCCCCAGGCTGGAGACCTGCGGGCCCAGCCGCTCCGTGACACTGCCCGCCCCCGCCTCCATGGGGAGCACCCGCCGACCGCGGACCTACCGTTGTAAAGCAGCAGCAGAGGCAGGAGGATGGACATCCACTTCTGCTCGATGCCCCAGTCCCGCATGGAGAACTTGCGGAGCGAGTGGGCAAACAGGCACTGCGAGAAGCCAGCCCGTCAGTGCCCGGCCAGGCCCCGGCGCCAGCGAGACCTGCTCCGTGAACCCTGGCGGCTGCGGCCAGGGCCGCCGACGGCAGCTGGGAGAACAGGGCCCACCGCTGAGGGGCCAGGGACACAGGTCCGGGCTGTTCCGGGGGCAGGGGGCCCTGGCGGCTGGACACCCGCCGCTGAGCGGACGGCAGCCACCCCGCCTCCTGCCGGCCGGGGCCGGGGGCGGCCCTGTGGGCGGGGGCCTTGAGGCCAGCCCGCTGTGCCCTCCCGGAGGCAGTGGCCTCTAAGGAGGCCCCGACCACGAGCAGGGACAGCGAGGCCCACGTCAGGGCATGGACTTCTAGCACCTCCCGCGGGCTTGCTGGGCCCATGCGGAAAGTTCTCTTTGAACCGACTCGAACAGGACCACACTCGTGACTTCTGGCTGGACGTTCACGGATTTTGCTTTTCCTGTGATCTGACGGGAGCTGACGGTCTTCTGGGTGGGCAGCCAAGCCGCAGGTCCAGCACCTCCCCGGGAGGCCGCGGGCACTCGCGCCCCAGCTGGGGGCAGGTCTCGGGCCCTGGCTGCCACGCCCAGGTACCGGTCGCCGCCCACCGCACCGTTCTCAGTGCCCACAGCCGTGACCCTCCACACACGAGTGACGCTGTCCCCGGGGATCCGAGGTGGCCGCCGGGGAAGACGGTGGACGCACCTCCCTGTCGAGAAAGCGCCCATCCCCGCGGAGAGGCCCCAGGGTGCTTGGCGTGGGCCTGGGCCTCCCGTGAGCCAGAGCTGCACTTCCAAGCCACTTTGGGGACCCCACTGCTGCCGGGTCCCAAAGGCCGATGCCCCGGGGGGGGGGGGCTCTGTCCCGCCCGAGGCCCGGCCCTCCAGCGGGAGCCTGTGGTCACCGCCAGGGGAGGAGCACGGACTGAAGGACAGCGGGTGACGCCACCCACAGAGCCCCGGCGCCTGCCACGGCCACGTCCCCCGAGCCGCCCGGCCGGCCGGCAGGGCCTCGGGATTCAGGCTCCCGGGCGCTGGGGGGAGAACCTCCACCCATGGAGGGGCCTTCCCGAGGGTGCCGCTGCGTTCATCCGCGGGGACTTACGGTGGCGACGAAGGTGAGCACCACAAAGATGAACCGGAAGCAGATCTCCCACTGAGAAAACGCAGGGTCGTACGTCTTCCACTGCAAGGGACACGGGCGTAACCGCGCGCACCCGCTCGGGGGCGGGGGCGGTCGGGACAGCGGGGCAGGGACGTCCTGCGGGCTGCCCGCATGTCTGACCCGCTAACCGTACACCTGATCTTCTAAAGAACAATCGCGAAGAACTGAAGGTCGCGCTCGCGGGTGTTATAACAGCTGACGGTGAATCTGACTGAGAAATCATCCTTCAGCCATACCGAGTCTCACGCCAAAATCGCTTTTCAGTTCCGTGCCACAAATCGGCCCCGTCGACCTCTTTGCTGGAAAAAGCCACTTTCCACGAAGAGACTGCGGAGCTGCGGCCACGCAGGGCCCTGCCACGGTCTCACTGCGCGTCTCAGCGCGCACCGGAGCCCGGAGAGGGTGGGTCAGGGGCCGGCTCGCAGGTGCCGAGGCCCAGTGGCCGCCAGGCCCCTCGCCGCCTGGGCAGCGCTGGGCCAGCGTGCCCACCATTTGAACGCGCTGGATTAAAATCGTCTGAGCCACCGAAACATCCGCTCCCCGGCAGGTCGGGGCTGCCACGTTCCTGGAGGTGCACAAGAGCGCACGCACCGGTCTCCCTGTCAGCACTCGCGGCCTGAATCACGGCGTGGCAGGACAGCAGCCTCCTGCTGACGGCGAAACCTCGGGGCGCAGCCATGGCCTGGGGCACCAGGAGCCCCAAGACCGGGCAGAGCTGGCTTCCCTCACATCCATCTGGACGCTGCCCAGCCCGCAGGTGAGCCCCCCGGGCAGGGAAAGGACCTCTGGCACTCACGGCGGGCAGGGCCGGGGCTGCCGCACAGCAGGCTGGGCCACGCGCCGGGGAGCGGGCTCCGGACAATTTTGCCTCAACGGCGGGAAAGAACTAGGAGTGGATATAATGTTGCCCTGACCTGCCTGGCAGCTTAAGGCCTGAACATGAGGCCATTTCCAAGTACCTTTGGAACACCCCAGGACAAAACCAAGATCTATTATAAAAACACAAAATCTGGGCCCTCCCTGGTGGCGCAGCGGGTTAAAGCACAGTACTGAGAAGCTAAAGCCAGCTCAGCATGAGTTCGATCCCCGCCCTGGAGGTGACCACAGGGCGCAGCAGACCTCTCCTGACCCGCCCGCTGCTCCCCTCAGCAGTGGACTTTGTCGATCTGCCTGTCCTGCTCCCCACTCTGTCCACTGCTCCCCTTAGCGGTGGACTTCGTCCATCTGCCTGTCCTGCTCCCCATTCTGTCTCTCGCCACCCCTGAGCCTCTAGCCTGTACCCCAGTTCTGTATGCAGAAATAAATCAATCTTTAAACAAAAAATACAAAATCTGGCTACCTGTGGTGTCTGACACGGAATCAGCAAAGCCAGGCACGTGAAGAGGCAAGAAAATATGAACCATAATGAGGGAAAACACCAAGCACTGACACTGAGCCAGAAGCCGCAGGCGCAGGCCCCGCAGCCAGCAGGTCGGGAAGCTGGGAGGGTGGAGAAGGCTGAGCGGACATGACGGAGAGCGGTGCCCACCACAGGGCGTCAGAAGCGCGGCCCGGGCACCGGCAAAGGGGGGACGGCCTCAGCACCACGCAGCAGGTGGCCTCACCACCTACTCTGGGGACCGGAGTGTCTGGGGCGGTGCCAGAAGCACAGAAAGAGTATTTGAAGTGAAAATGGCCCAGACTGGCCAGACTTGGTGGCAGCCAGAAAGGCACAAAGTCAGCAGCTCGCTGGACCCTACCAGCACAGGGGACAAGACGCCTCGTGACCGGGGAGCCTCCGGAGGAAAAGGGGCACCTGCCAGGGGCTCAGGGCCGCACCAGCGGCGCCTGACAGAGCTACGGAGGGCGGGTCGGTTTCTCGTCCTAAAGAGCCAGGAGACCAGGCACTGGCGCTCACCTCGGGGGAGGCCTGGCCGGCAGGGGCGCGGCAGGACTGGGGGCGCACCCGGTCCCCCAGGCTGGGAACGACTGCACCCGCCCCGCCGTGGGGGGTGGGGGCCATGCCAGCTCCCGGAACAGCTGCCTGTCTCCCCACTGCGTGGTCCAGCAGGGCCCCAGGTGTCCCCCAGAGCAACAAGCCTCGTCCACAGATGAGCGGGCATGTTCACGGCAGCGTGATCTGTAACGACCTAATGCTGGACACAATGGAATGCCCACGGCCAGGGCAGTGGGCAGCCTGCCCCAGTGGAGCGGACCCCCCAGCCTCGGAGCGGGATCCCCGCTCCGCCACCCAGGGGCGGTCAGGAGCTGGCAGGGAGGGAGCGAGGTGATGGCAGCACCGTGGCTGCTGCGTGGCCACTGCGTGGCCGCTGCATGGCCGCCGGCCGGCCGCCCCCTGCTCGCCACCAGGGCACTGTGTCTGCCTTTCCCCACGCTGGCATTCTGGTGCACTGTGTCCGTTATGCTGCATTTCCTCCCCCAAGAGGAATGGAACAAGTAGCTTATTAAAAACCAATGGATCAGATCGCACCATTGTTGTATAGTTAAAGGGTAAAATCCTAAAGAAAAAGGCAGAGTTCTCACGCCAGCAGACATCGATGCCAGGGCGGCGCCCGTTCAGCACAAAGCTTGCTCCGGAGACGTCCGGCTGACACCGGGAGGGCGAGGCACGGGCTTGCCCGCTCTAACGAGAGCCCGGGACAGGCCAGAGGCCCTGCCCGGCCGTGCGGGCCGGAGTCCACCCCCGCGGGACCCCGGCGAGCCGAGGGGCAGGAAGCTGACCAGAAGGCTTAGCCAGCAGCGCCGCTGGAGGGTGGGGCAGCCAGGCAGGACGGGGCGTGGCCCTGGCCGGAGGCGCGGGGCTCTGAGGACCGCTGCGAGGGAGAGGGGAGTCCGGCTTCGTGCGGGGCCTTCCCCGGGCACACCCGGCCCTCGCCGTCCCGACTTGCAGAGCCCGCGTGGGCACTGGGCTGGCAGGAAGGGAGCCGCTTCCTGCCTCTCCGCTGGCTACTTTTGGTACCAGAAACTCAAGCTGTGGCTTTCGCATCGTCTCCCAAGCACGCTCGGCCTCCCATGGTCCGAAGTCGCACGACCTCCGTCAGCGGGCGAGAGAGGCCAGCGCGCTCCGGGAGGCTGCACTCACCGTGAAGTTCATCTCCTTGATGGGCAGCTTCAGGTTCTCGAAGCCCACGATCACCGTGTACTGTGTGTAGTTCAGGTAGCCAAGGTGGGCCACGATGATCTCAGCGCATTTCTGCCGAGACACGAGGGCAAGGCTTGTGTTTCTACAGCAAGACACGCTCCCACCAGCCCACGGCGCGGCACGTCTGAACCTTGTGGTCAGGACAGGGCCTTGCAGCCATCTCACCGGGGCCGGAAAAATTGAGACCCCAGGCAAAACTGTTCTCAGAAAGAAGCAGCCAGGTGCCTGCTTCTGGACACAAAATCCTTTTGATTGACTGTCACTAGCTAGAATCTCGCTACTTTGATTAAAAATAATTTGTCACCTATATTAGCGGGGCTAACAGCCCAGACAACCCGCGCTCGCACCACCCGCTGCCCGGGAGCTGAGCTCAGAGCGCCCTTCCCTGGCCTGGCCGCACCAGCTCCGACATGCCGGCTTCCAGAGGGGACCTCAGCGCCTGACCCGCTGGTGACCTCGGGCAGTACCCTGCCTCGGGAAGCCTGGCTCTCCGGCACCGGAGGCCGCTATGGCAGTTCCTGCCTGGGGTCGCTGAAGGCTGGGGTGTCGGAGGGGCGGGGCAAGCTAGGGAACCCCGGTCCCATATGATCAAATGCATGATTCTCCCACGCCGTCCCCATGACAACCTGCGCCCCAGCAAGTCCCACCGGGCCTCCACCTTATCCTGGGTCTGATTCTTCGGAGCTTGAAGCTGATGAAATCGAGAGAGAGGGCCCTTCCTGCGCTGCTCCCCCAGGCTAGTCCACTACAAACTGCCCCCCAAAGCAGCTGCTAAGGTCACTCTCCTTCCCGGGCGGCGCCTCGGGGCCCCCAGTTGGGTCAGGCCGTCCAGCACATGTGGTGAACAACCCAAAGCCCTGTGGTCAGGAGTGACCTGGAGCAGACCTGCACACATGGCAGGCGGCCACCGACAGGCCCGTGTGGACACACCAGTCAGTAAGTTGCAAACAGTGGAGTCGGGGCGCTCTGGCTGTGTGCAGCTGCGGGAGTCTGTGCATGTGCTCGGGTGTCGCTTGTGAGACCTCGCCAGGCCCTGAGGCACCTGAGCTCCCAAGCCTGTGTGGGTGAGTGTGCCCCAGCACACCACCCCTGCCACGTGATTGTCCCTCTGCCACGTGAGGGTCCTGGGCCCCGGCACGCTCCCCCCTGCCACGTGAGGGTCCTGGGCCCCGGCACGCTCCCCCGGCACGTGAGGGTCGTGGGCCCCGGCACACTCCCCCTGCCACCTGAGGGTCGTGGGCCCCGGCACACTCCCCCCGCCACCTGAGGGTCCTGGGCCCCGGCACGCTCCCCCTGCCACGTGAGGGTCGTGGGCCCCGGCACGCTCCCCCCGTCACGTGAGGGGTCCTGGGCCCCAGCACGCTCTCCCCTGCCACGTGAGGGTCATGGGCCCCAGCACGCTCTCCCCTGCCACGTGAGGGTCCTGGG